ACGAATTTCGACGAGAATTAGGTTTTGGTGAGGAGGAGGTGGTGGTAGGAAAAGTAGCACGCTAATTGGTGCGAAGGGTATCGAGATAAATTGGCATGCAAATGAGTGTCTTTCGAATACTTTAATCATTTGACCACTTGTGAGTAGTCAAATAGTACAGAAAATTTTACTGACAGGGTGGCCTAGAGTAGAAGCTGAGTAAGAAATGGCTTTCTGTTCGGTGTTACGTGTGTTTTGTATACTGGGAGGTGGCCTGTGACAAAACCTTTCATAAAAACTAAAGAACCCTGCTGAGTGGGAGTCTGGTAGTTTTTCTCACCTCAGTGGATTTGGAACTCCGACTGCAAGTGAGGGTTGATACGTGGGTTCTAAAGCTAAAATATACCCATATCACCAGTTGCACAGTTGCTGCGCACTAAACGCGGTGCGGGCAATGCGTAGCTCACCTCTCTCTTTGGAAGCCAGTCGCCATTAAGTCACACCTGCACGAACAACTATCCGGTTGCGTAATATTGCATCGTGGCAACATGCTCGTGAATGAAAAACGCTTACAAAATTGTCAAATTTCATGAGATTTCTGTGCGCCTGAAACCGATCACTTCCACCTAAGGTTGCTGAAGACTCCTCGATAGCCGACGACCGGTTTCGCCCTTTTTAGGGTTCATCAGGTAAGCGATCATTCCCCGAGTTTCCGTCAACCTCGCATTCTACTTGAAACCAAGTTGCACGAAATTAGTGAATATACACTCATTTGCAAACTAATTTGGTTTTTCGAGAGACTCACCTGGAACCCAGCTGAATCTCTCGTTTATGATGTTCTCAGGCAACTGAATGTGCTGCACCAGGCTGCCTCATGTTTCAGTCGCTACGATATTCGATATATCGCGATACACATATGTTTTGTAATGCACTACTCATAAGGTTGCTGAAGACTCCTCGACAGCCCACTTGAAGTAGAGATGAAGTTTTCGCTAGGCTGCTTTTAACTTTTCTCACCGAGTTCAGGAAGGAATTCGGCATAATCGTTTTTATCATTTCAGAACCATCAGTCCAAAACCATCAGACCTGATGAAGCTTTTGTGTCAAAAGCGAAACGCTGCCCAGTGGGGAACCACCGAGTGTTTACCAAGCCTTCTCAAATTATGACTCTCGCCAGTCTCCAGAAGAGGAAAATGTCAAAATCGTATTACTTAAAAACTCACAAGTAGTATGTGTGTGGAACGTAATTCAAATTCCTGTCAGGCTTTCGCAGTTGAAACCGCACTGCCGAGCTATAATGGCGATGTTCCCTGTACCCGTTCGAATTATTCACATAGTTGAACAGATAACTACAGTTTGAGGGGGATGACCTAACTCCCCCCATTCAAAAGAATCCCAAAGATGAAGATTATTCGTGTTTTCAAACAGGAAACCTTACGACGTGGGTGGCTTATCAAAAGATTTTGACCACGTTTTGATGAGCGAAATTCAATTTTGGAAACAAGTAAACCGTTATATTTGCGCTCCAGATCCTAGTTTCTGTAAATCTCACAGCTGAGTTCGAATTCAGAGCTCATATTTTCCTGCTTGGCTAGGTTGGGCTCAACACATTCATGACCCCCATTGTCAGACCATGCTTTACGGGTTCGAATCCCATCAGGTTTGATGCGATTCCCAATTTCAGTGTCTCCACAATGTGACCATCTGCAGCGGATACGACTTTTTAGTGTCAGAAATTAACGGCCACTGTTTTCTGCGACCCGCTTGATATGTGTGCGTGGCCTATCCACAAAATGACTCATCATCAACCGATGTTAACCTCGCCAAACTGATTATCGTCCGCAAGTGTGAGTATGCTTCAACCGGTGGATGACCAATTTAGTTCCAAGTAAACACACGCACATATTTGACTGATGTGGTACGGAAAACCTTTCGTTTAGGCTTCGGTATGGTCAGACGTTTGTAGCGGCTCGTGTTCATCAACAGTGTCCCGATTCAGCGTACATGAACGACTAGACAGAATAGGTACAATCAAACCGACAACGGAGACGTCGCCTAATCACCCTCCCCCACCCTGCTCTGACCTGTGTTGTGCAGTTGCGACTGGTTCATCACCCCCCCCCACACACACACACACCCCACAA